GGAGACCTAGAACAGTACAGCTGGAGTATATATACACTAGGGTTTGACTTGGAGTGGGCTGAGATGTTGGGCTTATTTCCTATGGGCCTTTGCTGCGTAACCCCCACGGTAATCGGGTTCGGGGGAGGCTCCCCATACCCGCCTCCGCCAGACCCGATGGGGATGGTTTTTCCCCCATTTAACCCCCCATGGGGACAAAATCCCCCCCATACCCACCTCCTAATGGAAGAATTCCCCACGAGTAATCGGGTATCGGGTCCCCATTGACATCCCTAGACGTGCCTAAAGTGTAAAAATCTCATCAAGTCAATTTAAAAATCTAAACTAGATTTCTTGCTCCATCTCTATACAAATCTTTAGACCATACATATGCATGCAAATTTTAAAATTCAAATCGGATTTCCATATCGGGTAAGTCAAAGATGTTGACTAATTTTTTTTCGAACTTTTTACAAACAGTATATAGAGATATTTACATCTCAAATGATCGGTTTTGCTATGAAACCAATCGTTGGCTCTATAGTGGAGTCAACCTTCTATATACAACAAATAAACTTACCATATTAATAAAATTATATTAATGTTATTTAAGTAATCAGACAATATGGTACGTTTATTGGTTATATATAGAAAGTTGGCTCCACTATGCGCCAACGGTTGGTTTCATAGCAAAATCGATCAAATGATATCATATATTAACTAATTATAACAATTTATCACAAGCAAAACCGAGAAAGATAAATAAAAAAATAAATAGGTAACTAAATCCAAATATACTTCCAATTATTCTGGCTGAGCTTTTTTCTTACAACGAACTAAGGAGAAAATTATCGCTCTCCAATGCCATGAACACCACAGTCCTTCCCTGCAAGATGATACTACCTCCCAAAATCTCTGAAAAACCCGCGAAACCCAAATCCCTTTCCAAAAATGCCCCTCACAATACCGCCGGCGACGCCCGCCTGAAGCGTCTCTGCAATCTCGGCCGCCTACGCGACGCCATTCTCTCTCTAGATTCATGCGACTCCACGGTAAGGCCCAGCACCCTCTCGTACCTAATCGAGTCCTGCATCGACTCCAACTCCCTCGACCTCTGCCACGAACTCCACGCCCGCATCCGGAAGCTGGTCGATAGACCCGACCCGTTCCTCCAGACCAAGATGGTCGGTATGTTCGCGAAATGCGGCTCCTTGGGCGACGCCTTCGCGGTGTTCGACGTAATGCGCGAGAGGAACCTGTACGCTTGGTCGGCCATGATTGGAGCCTGCTCGAGGGAGAGGATGTGGGGGGACGTGGTGGGCCTCTTTTACTGGATGATGGAGGAGGGCTGTTCCGTACCGGACAATTTCCTGTTCCCGAAGATCTTGCAGGCCTGTGGTAATCGAGGGGATTCTGAGACGGGCCGATTGATACACGGGATGGCGGTCAAACGAGGTATAAGCGACGATCTTCGCGTGAACAACTCGATTCTTGCTGTGTACGCCAAATGTGGGCAGTTATCCCGTGCGAAAAGATTTTTCGAGAACATGGAGGTGAAAGACAAGGTTTCATGGAATTCGATAATCTCGGGGTTTTGCCTAGCTGGCAGGATAGACGAGGCTCGGAAATTGCTCGATTCCATGCGGGATGAGGGTCTTGGGCCGGATGTGATCACATGGAATCTGCTGATCACGAGCTGTAATCATCTGGGTAAATGCGACTTGGCTTTGAGGTTCATGAACGAGATGGAGAAATTAAACACAAGGCCAGATGTGTACACTTGGACGAGTATGATCTCGGGTTTGGCACAGAATAACAGAACATATGAGGCTTTAAAGTTGTTCGTGGAGATGCTCATTGCTGGGTTTCGGCCGAATAGTGTTACGGTCATGAATGCTTTGTCGGCTTGTGCCTCGGGTAAAGATGTTAGGAGAGGGAATGAGGTTCATTCGGTTGCTGTTAAATTGGGTTATGGAGAGGACATGCTCGTCGGGAATTCTCTTATCGATATGTACTCAAAGAGCGGGAAACTTGATTCTGCTAAATGGGTTTTTGATGTAATGTCGGAAAAAGACATGTACACTTGGAACTCTATGATAGACGGCTATTGCAAGGCTGGCTACTGTGGGATCGCGCACGATCTCTTCAAGCAAATGCAGAAATCGGGTTTTTTGCCGAACGTGGTCACTTGGAATGTTATGATAACAGGGTATATTAAAAACGGGGACGAGGATCGAGCCATGGATCTTTTTTATGAAATGGAGGAAAGCGGGGGCATCAAGCGGGACACAGCTTCTTGGAATGCGCTCATTGCCGGCTATGTGGATATTGGAGAAAAAGATAAAGCTTTGAGAATTCTGCGAAAAATGCAATATTGTGGGGTGAAACCTAATTATATTACCATTTTGAGCATTCTACCGGCGTGTGCAAATCTGGTCGGTCTAAAAAAGCTGAAGGAGATCCACTGTTGTGCCGTGCGCGGCATTTTTGAGTACGAGCTTTCGGTCGCGAATGCCCTAATAGACACGTATGCAAAAGCCGGGAATATAAAATATTCGAAAGCTGTATTTTATGGAATGCCACTTATAGATATCATTACATGGAATGCTATGATAACCGGATTTGTTCTGCACGGATGTTATAACGAGGCAATCGAGCTCTTTGAACGCATGAGGACAATGGAGTACAAACCCACCAGAAGTACTTTTGTTTCTGTGCTTTCGGCTTATGGTCTGGCTAAGAGGGTAGATGAAGGGAGACGCGTTTTTTCTTGCATGAGTGAAGAGCTTGAGATCGTGCCATGTATGGACCATTATGTTTCCATGGTGAATCTTTATGGCCGTTCAGGGAAAATTGACAAGGCATTTGATTTTGTTGGAAGTATGCAAATTGAACCTGATGCCTCTATCTGGTCTGCATTGTTAAATGTGTCTCTTAGGCATGAAGAGGTACAACTGGCTGTATGTGCAGCAGAAAAGTTGCTTGAACTAGAGCCGGATAATGGCTTTGTTAGGACTTTGGTTTTACGGCTATATGATTTACATGGTATCTCGAGGGATGATTTGAAAGTAAAAAGAGCCGGAGTAAATATTAGTAAAAATACTCCAAAAATTGTTGGGAGCAGTTGGGTTGAGGATAAAAACGCCATTCATACCTTTGTTAGTAGTGATCCTGGCCGAATGGCGGCAGGTTACGAAAATTTGCTTTCTTGGATAGAGAAGGTGGAGTTAAATATGAAAGAGTTGAAGTACAGAGATGTTATTAGGGTTCTTGATGAAGAACATGAAGAGATTGCAGGAATTCACAGCGAAAAACTGGCACTGGCTTTTGCTCTCGTCAAGTGTCCCCCTCGAGAATTTCGAACTGTAAGAATTGTCAAGAACCTGAGAATGTGTGACAGATGCCATCAGTTTTTTAAATTTGTGTCGAAAACGTATTGCTGTGAAATATATGTGAGTGACACGAGATGTTTGCATCGTTTTGAAAAAGGGACTTGTTCTTGTGGTGACTATTGGTAGGTGGAAGAATCATACACCAATTTGTACATGCTCTTGAGAGTAATAGAGAAACTTTATACTGGGATTTGTTCTTGTGGTGACTTTTGAGAGTGCATTTATGTTCTTTTATGTTTATAGAATGCCTTCTGTTTGATGTGCATGTCTTGGAACCGAAATTAGTAGAAGAAAATCTATTCTTGTCTTTGGAAGATGCTACGGTCTCGTTACGGAACCATTCCGTCGGGGTTTGTAACCCTTAGATCAACTATCTCTAACAATTACATGATGATCTAACACGGTTACAGACCCCGAGGGAATGGTTCCGTAACGGGACCTTAGCATTTCCCTTATCTTTAACCAAAAAGTTCAGTTAAAAACCTACTTTAACAAACAAGCCCTAAATCTTCCTAAGCTGTGTGTTTTTTGTTGGTCTTGTCAAATTTCATTCTCTTACTGTTGAGAGAAGATGACAATATGTCATACGAATTAAAAACGAGAAAAGTAAACAACACAAGATTTGCGTGGTTCGGCAATATGCCTACGTCCACGGATATATTTATTATGAAAATCGTTCTCAATACATCAATACACCATGTATTTCTATCATAACTCTACAAGGTATTAATTTACTTATATACCCGTACTGTACCGCGGGGGCCCCGACCCCGCACCCCTGGCCCATACCAAGGAAGGGATCGGGTAGATACGAACTCTCGTAAGTGACGACCTCAGATGAGACGTCCCGAACCTCCCCTCTAAGCTCGGGGGCCTGTATGTTGATACCGGATCGGCCCGATCGAAAATTACTGGCTTGGTCGATGAAACCGGGAAGGGTCGGCCTCATGATCCGAACCGGGCCACGGAGCGACGACCAGTGCCGAGAAGGATGAAAACAAAAGTCAGTCACGACAACGTCTTGTGTGTTTACGGAGACCAACGCTTACTATATAGAGTGTCGAACTGTCAAAGTATCGATCAGAACTATGTAATCCGAATGTCTCGGTAAGACCAAACGTTAAGGTGCCGACCTGGAAGCCTGGAAAGGTCGACCCAAAGACAGGAGTTGGACTCGATAATGATATTTAATAGCAACATGCTAGTTAATGATTTGGGGATGGGACAAGTAGACCTAGCTTACCACCCTAGGGTATGTAGCTTGGCAAAAGAAAGATGAACATTAAATGCCACACATGTAGGCATTAAATGCATGGCAGGTCATGATTGAAGAACCTCAAATGCATTTAATGATCTGTCAGAAAAGTGTCGTCCTGGTCTGCAGGAATACTGTGCGACAAGACAGTGAATAGTGCCATTAAATGAGACTATATATAAATAGAGACCACTTTCATTTATGGGTGGGTTGTTGAATCCTCAACTAACAAGCTAGCATTTTTCTTTCTTTCTCTCTAAGAATTGTAAGAAGATACCCATTGTAAAAATTGTAAGTATATCACAAGTGTCGACCTCGTACGAGAGGCCGACCCAGTGATTTTTGAATAAAATCGTAATTAACCTGTATCTCCTCTTTATTTTCTACTTCATATTTCCAATACTCGTCATTTTAAACGTTGATCGGATTTGTCCATCAACATAGGCTCAGCGCATTCGAAAATTATATATATGGAGATTGTTAAGGAAAAAAACCTTGTCAAAGCATTTTCTCTCAATCATTTTCTACTCTTCCATTAAGCCCTAGCCCTTCTGTTCTCTTCTCTCTCTCAAGAAGTCGACCGATTTTATTTCCATAAAAGAACAACATATTCGAAAGAGGATATATTTGATCTGCAGTCAGCAACTGGCTATGGAGGCCGACGGAACAACTTCAACCTCGACATCGTCCGCGAATTTAATTTGACGTGGCAGTTTGTTCTCGTGAGTTAGGCGACGACCGCCAGAAACCAGACGGAATGCTTGGTGACTTGCCTTCTTTCGTGAGTTTGTTCCCTTTAACTCAAAATTCTCTTTCTTTACAGTTCATGTGTTCTCGATTTTTATTTTTGTTTATGTGGACTTTCCAACTTTTTCGTTTTTGGATTACATTTAAAATAATTATATATGAACCTTAAAATAATAAGCAGAATCTTGTTTTTTTTTTTTTCTTTTTCTTTTAAACAAAAGTAATACTAATACCCACATACAACATGGGTGTTAGAGTTAATGAATATATGTATAAAGTTATTCATGTCTAATACCAAATCTAACTCCAAAGCAAAAATAATATAAAAATAAAATCACGAAGCATAGATTTTCGCATGTCTAACATCCGAAGCGTGAAAATCTGCCACCTAGACTCAACACGTTTTGAATTAATATATAGGGAGGGATTGAGAGAAAGAGTTGGGTTGAGTCTTGTAGTTTCAAGTACTCTTACGAATTGATGCAAATATAATGAGGTGTTATTCTAGTGGAGTCTAGCAGATTAGCTCCTTCGAGCTTGTGTTCATTTATTATACGAAGCAAAAGGCCCAACTCAACAAACAAACTAAAAGCTCAACTCATTTTTTTGTTTTCAAATGAGTTTCATCTAATTACGAAAGTTTTATTATTTCATTCCAATTTTGACACTTTCACTGTAAAATGCTAACAGAAGAAACAAATGAACATTTTTTACATCCAAATCTAATAGCCACTCTCGAGTCTTTCACAATAAAAAAGGCCTCAATTGAGGGAAAACCAACTGAGTCAATATTAAAGCTACCACTTTAATATATGCAAACTGATAAACTCTGCATAATTTAGTGTTTTAAACCCAAAGCAACAAGTCATAGTTTAGTTTTTTACACCCAAAACTGCCAAAAACTGCACAAACACACAAATTGTTACCGTCTCCTTTACCGACTCTTCGCCTTCTGTGCTTGAATCCTGAATTGCATGTAAAAACTTAGTTACCAAAACCAATTTTTTTCTATAAAAAATTAACCAACACATCCAAATGGGAATGATTTTGCCAAAGGTAGAATCTAAATACGGGGGTTTGTTTCACACAAAAATAAAGACCAAAAGTAAAAAAAAATAAAAATAAAAATAAAACTAGTCTATTATTCAATACTACAAACCTTAACTCTTTCAACTGGACCATGGTATTGTAGTTACGTTCCCTGTAAATAATCATAGACAAAAACAAGTCATTAAAGCATGGTGCCTTTTTTTTTTTTCCATTCAAGCAGAGAAAAAATTAAGTAAAATAAAGTCAGAGTAGAGCAACGAAAAGGTATCATGCATTTTGAGCACAAAATGGAATGCAATCATCAACATCTGTTTTTTAACAACATGATGTAGCATGAGAGAAAAAAAAAAATAACTTGATACCTAAATAATTTAATTTCCACCCATTTAAATTAACATGTTTCCTTGTTTAGAGCTTTGAATAAAGGATTGGTGATACTCAATAGCACTTGCTTTTAATAGTGGCGTTCAGTAACAGATTCCGTTCACGGAAAACAGTATCGGTATAAAAGTAAAGATTCTTAAGCCAAACCGTTCAAGGCGCAGTTCAGCACAGATCCGCGACAGTTGTGTCGTTCCTTTGCTGCAATGAGAGTTTGTATAGGATAAAAAGAATACCAATAAGGGAAATTACATCTAATTATTCATAAGAGATCAATACATATAAAAACTTACGTGTTACTAGCATCAGTGCTGTTGTATCACAACCAGAGAGTGAGAGAGAGAGAGAGAGAGAGAGAGAGAGAGAGAGAGAGAGAGAGAGAGAGAGTCAGTTCACAGCTTGTATATAAAAAACATAGCCAAAAGGATAAACTTAGGCACAGCAAGAAGCTACTTACTACTTGAATATACCAAAGACCAAGGCCACACTCAGTAAATTCTTGGCCAATAAGGTCCAATTTTCAGATTCTTGAAATACACTATATACATAAAGAAATGATCAGGTTACAGATAAAAGTTAGTACAAGCAGGACGTATCAGTCTCCAAACAGAATGTTATCAGTTCCGGTACGTAGACCAAATAATACAATGCAAGCAAAAGTTCCTAGATTCATCGAGGAAAAAGAGCCAGATCCATCAATAGGTGGGAATAGCACAAGTATTACCTGACTTGAGAACAAAACTGACGTGAATGTGTCAGGGAACTTGCCGCGCGCCTGAATTGTAAACAAATAAATATCAACAACAACAACAACAACAACAACAACAACAACAACAACAACAAACGTGCGCACCATAGCCAACAAAATTATAAACCTGATCATGTGAGACATTGATAACGACCAAGAGAAACCTGAAATTACAGTGAAATGTCAAAACCGAATGGGATTAAACTTTATTGGCCTATCTGAAAATTTAATGATCCATTACAACACATCAAAAGAGGAGAAAAACCTAAGCATTTTGAAGGCTAGCAAACAAACTTTCTTGGGAAATAAGTTACTTGAGATCAAAAAAAAAAAAAAACTTTATAACATGAAAAGAAAATGTATGTATATTTTGGTTTCGATTTTGCGTCTGCCGCGTCACAAGAGGTCCTCGGAGACGGATTTACCGGAGTTCTGCCTGGAAAGACAGATCATGTGACGTGACCGCCGTACAAGGCTTTCCACCAGCTAACCCGCCGTACAGATCGGTGGTGATCCTGTGTGTGTTTGCGCGCGTGTGTGTGTGTGTGTGTGTGAGAGAGAGAGAGAGAGAGAGAGAGAGAGAGTCACCTCTTTCCAGACAAGGGATGACGATGAATGGTTGCTGCCTCATCCGTCTCCTAGGGTTTTCAAAGTGGTGCGTCCTAAATGGGTTGGATCATTGAGCTGTTTAATGGGTCGCGTATGGTTTAGTAGAGTATTGGGCCGTCACAATATAAAACACATCATTGTATTTTAAAGGCGGCTAATTTAAATGAATACCCAAATTTTTGAAACGTTTTGCATAAATATGACCAGCTAAAAGAGTTTTCGGTTGTATTTTTTAGGTTGCTGTTTTTTTGTTTTGGGCTCTTGTGCCTCTTAGGGCTGGTATTTTTCCTGTCCCGTGCTTTGTAGGCTAGTGATTTAGTCTGCTATGGTTGTAATCAGTTGATTATCGTTGTGCTCTTTTTATGAGTGGTATGGAAATTGTTGTTTGTCGTTTGAAAAAAAAAAAAAAGTTTTCGGTTGATCTCTTTGCTAAAAAAGCCCGAGCTGGGAGATAAGTTGGTACTATATATGTCTGTAGGTCGTGTGGCGGTAAGTTTGGTGTTGCTGAAGGAAGAAGGATGCGAGCAAAAACCGAACTATATTACCAGTTGGTTGTTGCAGGGGGGCTGAGTCCATATATAGCGATATAGAGAATATCGTGCTCGCCTTGGTCGTCACAGTTCAAAAACTAAATTTTTTTTTTTTTTTGGCTCACAAGGTGGCAGTGCAGACGAATCTCCTGTTTGGTGATACGTTGGAGCAACCTGCAGCTTCAGGTCAGCTGACCAAGTGGTTGATCTAGTTGGAGGAGTACGATCTGAAGTTAAAAAAAAAAAAAAAGAGCAATCAAGGTTCAAGATATGACATATTTTAACAAAGAATTGACAACCGACGAGAATGTAGGACAATGGTAGGTCCATGTTGATGGTAGTTCATCCATAAGTGGGGTGGGATCAAGGATACTGATAGTGACCCCAGAAGGAGACCATATGTAGTATGTTATTAAGTTGACCTTCTAACCTTCGAAAAATGACGCCGAGTATGATGCAATACAAATGGATCCAGCCTGCACTCTCTGTTGGAGTTTAGAATGTCCTCCAGCACTCGAATTCCCAGCTCATAGTCGAATAAGTTGTTCATGATTTCAAGCAAGAAAAAATGATGAGGAAGTACGTGCACAACAATTCACGAATTATTAAAATGATCTATAACGTGGGAGATAGTCCAAGTAGCCAAATCGATGTGAAGTGCAGGGACAATAAGATTATAATAAAGTTCCGAGTCTCATAAATATATACTAGACTACGTGCATGTGAAGGAGTTTTGAGGAAAGCGAGATACGTCGTGAGAAAAAAAAAAAAAAAATTGATGAACCCACTTCTGTATTTTAATTTTGTATTGTACATAAAAGTTTTACTCCCCGTCACACTTCGAAAATCAAATATTGGATTAAACACCACCAAATTGAACAACATTTCATTACAATACTTGTGATCAACTATAGAAAAATATGCAATAGGGTCGTTTTCTCCTGTGTTCATCGTAATACATTTAGCACTGAATTTTTTTTTTTTTGTTTTTCATGCTTGACGTGAACATTTTTCTATTACATAATTGAACATGGCTTTTTTTTTAAAAAAAATCTTTAATTTCAAAGGTAAACAGACTATATAGTCCATCGGTCTTATACATACGCGAGGAAGGTAATCAAAAAAGAAAAAAGATGCGGTCTTCTGTCTTTCCCTTTTCCTGCAAAAGACCCTAATCCTAGTAGTATTAGGTAGGGTCTTCCACAATATCTAATATCTAATTTCGTTTGAATATAAAGCAAAATTTTGGTTAATGAAAAAAAAATGAATTTGCGACAATACATTTCCGGTTCTAGAAAAAACCTCATTTCTTGGTGTCAAAATAGAAAAACACCTCCAAAAGTGTTGAAAGATGCTCATTAACCCCCTTCATAATTTTTGGATAAGCTTTAAAAATCTGAAGATTTTGAAGATCCATTGAGAACATGTAAATAACAAATAAGATAAGCAAAAAAGAGCTTCATAATTTTTGGATAAGCTTTACAAATTTGAAGATTTTGAAGATCCATCAAGAGCATGTAATATAACAAATAAGATAAGCAAAATAGAGTCGTCCTTGTCTGCCGCGAAAGGATATGGATTTGCCAGAAATCGGGCGTCAGAGGGAGAGAGGTCGTATGCTTCGACGGCGGTAGAGGACTTGTCGCCTGCGTCGCTTCCCGACCTT